GGAATATTTCAAAGGAGTGGAGTGTCTTTCTGAGTTCCTTAAGACCAGAGAACCAGTATGGTCTTGCAGGCTAACCTGCTTCAATTGAACAGATTGTTGAGCTCATAGAAGACAAAACGGGGTATAAATCTAAGAAATTAAAAAATATACATATAGGAGGGAATACAGTAAATACTATTCTTATTAATATTTTAAACTTGTATACCAGCCAGTTCTCAATGACTATGCACTCACAGCAATCAAAGATATTACAATAAAATAAAAAAGGTAAAAGGTAAAGATAAAAGATAGCAAGCACGATGAAGCTTGTTATTTTGTTATTTTACTAAAAGCAAATATATTTTTTTCCTTCTGCAGGAAAGGGGATAGTTGAGCCCATTCCTCTGAATATTACCACAGGTTTGTGAAATATCTGAACTTTTTTTCTTTCATTTAAACATGGCATTGCTCAGTCCGTCAAACAACTGCTTGTGTTTGGGACAGGAAGAAGTGGGCTTGGCCATGAAGAATTACAAAAACGAAAAGCTGAGGAAAAGCTGGAAAACTACAGGAAAAAAATGCATGTGACAAAACAAGTGGAAAAGCAGACAACTGACCTCTTCAAGTAGTGTTCTCCATTTATGTTATTCCTCTCACAGTTTCTCTTAACTGCTAATGCCATAATTAGGCAAGAGCTGTATTTCACCTGGGCAGCATGTATTTTGTGTGTTGAAGGTTCCTGGTGTAAATCCTGGCACTATGAGATAAAGCTGGATAAAATCTCTTGCTGGAATTTTATAGAATTAATGCTGATTGCTGTATGCCTAATTTAGCACTCAGCAGCTCCACCCAACATGATCATTGTGGAAAGATGCTGGGACTTCCAGCTATTCCTGGAGGATCTCAGATTCTTTCCTGTCTTAAAACACAATATTAAGGATGAAGCTACTCTGTTTAGCTCATACATTGAGTTTATTAATATCCGGAACAGGAAAAATGTTCTTAAAAAAATACAGTCTTCTATTAAATTTATTGATTGTGGTTTTGTCATTGTCTTATTAAGAATGAGATTGAAGACCAAGCAGGAGCAACTGCAAGTAAAACGGGACCTCGAGAAAAGTCAGAAAGCCTGCCAACAATTAGATACACAGAAAGTAAGTTTAAATAAAACCTTTATTTATGATTTTGGCCTGTAGAGGCTTAGGAAATCAGAGTTTATGCCCTGCCTTGATCTATCTACTTTAGTACTTTAGGTTTTTTTAGTACTGCAATGTAATATGTTACTTATGGAGAAGTGACAACTTGCAGCAACTGAAGCTTGTAGAACAGCCTTCATTGGAATTAGAGGTAGTCCTCAACTTGCAATCTTAATTGGGATTGGAACTCTTGTAGCTAAGCAAAGTGGTCATTAAATGAGATACCCCTGATTTTATGACTTTTTTTGCCATGGCCATTAAGTGAATCACACAGTCATTAAGCCTGAGTGGCATAGGAGGCTAATGCCTCCTACTAAGGCAGCATTTAACATCCAGCTGCCTGCAATTACTGCGAGTTCAAATCTCACCAGGCTCAAGGTTGACTCAGCCTTCCATCCTTTCTAAGGTGGGTAAAATGAGGACCCTGTTTGTGTGGGCAATAAGCTGACTTTGTATAAAATATACAAAAGTATGAAGGCTATTGCTTAACGCATTGTAAGCCGCCCTGAGTCTCTGGAGAAGGGCGGCATATAAAAATAAATAAAAATAAAAATAAAAATAAATTAAGCAAATCCAATTTCCCCCATTGACTTGGCTTGTCAGAAGCCAGCTGGAAAGGTCGCAAATGGTAATTCAATGACCTGAGGACACTGCAACCATTGTAAATACCTGCAGATTTCCCAGCAATTGAATTTTGATCACATGACCACGGAGATGCTGCAACAGTTGTAAGTGTAAGGACTGGCCATAAGTCATTTTCTTCAGTGCCAAACTTTGAATAATTACTAAATGAATGGTTGTAAGCCTATATAGTAATCTAAAATTGAAATTGATATATAAAGATGTAAAGTAGGCCTCACATGGTTAGGTTTGCCTCAGATCTCTGAATTACTTTACCCAGCAGTTTCATATATATGTGAAAAAGCATTGTGGATGGAATTCTACATCCCCTACAGTTTAAACACTGTGGAGCTAAGCAGACCTGCCACAGTGATACTATGTAAGCAGAACTCACCTCATCACCAAAAAGTCCATTTCAAAAGAATAATCTGATCGATAATATAAAATAGGTCATGACGTCTAAGAAATCGAGAGCTTTATTAATATGCAGTGTCTCTTAAAATTTCTCTTTGTGTTTAATATAAGTTTTTTGCCATTTGGGCAAAGGTTACAGCAGCTAAAAAAAAAATCTAATGTAGAGCATGGGTGTCAAACTTGTGGCTTATGTTGCCATCACGTGATGTTTCACGATTTTCCCATTCACGGAGCTGGGTGGGCATGGCCTATGCATGAACCATCCGGCCTGCAGGCCGCCAGTTTGACACCCCTAATGTAGAGTATGAATTATTGCCATGTTTTTATTTAAGGGCCTTGAAGTCCCCAAAGAGGTTTGGTACTGGTTAAATCCAAAGACTGAAGAAAACAAAGATGAGGAAGAAGAGGAGGAGGAGGAGGAGAAGGAAGATGAACTCAATGTAAGTACATGTTCAGATATTGTTTTAGCAATTGTCTTTGGTGGACTGGCTGGTAATTCTTTATATTACGATGCTCCATAGTGATCACCAAACTAGGTGAGACATGAATATAAATATTTACTGCCAGTAAATATAAATCTTGAACAAAATGCATGCGTTCTCATCACTCTTAATCGACTTTGGTTTAGCTTGAGTGCATCCATGTATGTGTGCATCAGCACAATATACATTGATCGATCTATGATGTGCCATGAAGCCAGTTTCTGCTCTTAGAGACCACATAGATATTTTCCTCATAATGGTTTGTCCCTAACCTGGTTCTTCAGATTTTCCCACAGTGTACCCTTTGCCACTATAACTGTGTCCCATTTTGCTGCTGGTAGTCCTGTTTCCTGAGTCACAATAGTGTAAGCTCTGGTATTTCATAAATAGTATAGGGTATTTACGCTTTTGAACTTTGGTGTTGGAGAAGACTCCTGAGAATACTATGAATAGCCAAGAAAAGAAACAAATCGATCGTGGAACAAATCAGGCTGGCGTTCTCACTCAAGCCATAAAGAACCAAGCTCAAATGATTCTATTTCAGGGATTATATGAAGGCCTACTTCTCTGGAAAAGGCTCTAATGCTGGGAAAGGTGGAAGGAAAGAAGAGAAAGGCCAACAGCAAGGTGGATGGATTTAGTTACAGGCAATGGGGGCACATTGAGAAACCTGAAAGACCAGGTTTGGGATAGATCATTATGAGGGAAAATCTATGTGGTCACTAGGAGTCAAAAATGACTTGATAGCATATAAATTATATATGATGTATGTTTTGATGAAGTGCCATCAAATCTATTGTCTTTTAGTGACCTCATTGATCAATTCTTTCATGCATGGTTTTATGTACCAATAAATAAGATGCATAAAAGCCACTTCAGTTTTACTTTTAGTAGTAAGAAGAAATAATGAGGAAGTAACAAGAGACCTTAAGAGTTCTAAAACAGTCATTTAATAGGAGCAGCAAAAGAAGCTGAAGCTAAACATTCTAATTTATTTAATGTAACCTTTCAATGCCAAATCAATAACTACACATGTCTTTCACAGATTGTTTGATCTATTCAATGGCATTTAAAGATACATTTATTGGTGCTTTTTCAGGAATCAGAAAAGTTAATCAGTTTAACAACTTATTTAAGAGAGGAGTATCTCTATTGCATCTGGTGCGGAACAGCCTACCAAGGTAAACCTAAATCGTTTTTTATTTTAAATCATATCAAACAACAATTCAAATTCGGTGGAATTTTGCTTATTTGTTCATAATCTATTTTGATTGCATTGCTTTTTTATTACTTATTTTATAGGGTTTTCCTTGAAAGTTTTGATGTTCAGATTGTTTTATTATAGTCATGGATCTTTTATATCAAAAAATGGCCAGTCACACTGACAATCGCCTAAGAGTTTTGTTCTGAGGTTAGAATAAACCTAGGTGTGCTGTTCTGACCTTGGAATAAAACTTGCCAACTTAAAGAAGAAACAAGCTCGGAACTGCCCATTTAGAGTATTCAGTGCTTGAAATAAAATTCAGAATACAGCAACCCACAACATTTCAGATGCGCCATTTGCTTTGAGTTTGAAACAAAATTTTCCATTTCAAACTTGTAATCTAGTACTGGATGCATGTTTGCTTATAAATTCTGCAAATTTGTTTTTGTTTTTTTTATTTTGCAGATCAAGAAGATCTATCTTCAAATTGCCCTGGGAGCACATATATAGATCACGAATAAATCTATAAAAATTCAAAACAATAGCAAAATTCTGTAATTTCAATGAAGAGCAGAGCTGTGAACTATGCTATTCTATAATTTTCATTGAGCAAATTGGTTGTTTCTCAATACTCTATGTTTAGGTATAAAATGGATTTTCTTATTTAAAAATTCTTTGGAATAGGAACTAATTTGTTATTTTTCCAAGTTATTTATTATTATTTTTTAATCCTATGTTTACTTCTGAAAAACAAAATTAAAATTTAACATAATTGACTAGATTGGATAAATGCATGCTTTGATTTCAGCAAAGTAAAAGTTTCAAGAAACCCTAAAACAATGAATTTAGCTGTTCGAAGATCATTCTCTTTAAGTTCACAATAACACTTTGAACATAGGATTTCTTCTTTACCTTATCCAAGTATAAGCCTAAAAGTCTGGTTTTTTTTCTATTTAAAACTAATGTTTTAGCATACCTCCACCCTGTTCTTAAAAATAAAACAGATAGCGTATCTTTCTTAAAATTAATACTTCATTCACTTTCATACATTTTAAAAACTCATAGCAAATATAATTTCTATAAAAAAAAACCAAGCTCAAAACAAAATTTTCCAAAAGCTTTATTTTTTTTTTTACAACCAATCTGTCAAAGATCCTCTAACCCACCACATGCAGAATCTGGGGTTGAGTTCAGAAATGCTCTAGCTTTTCTTTTTCCAAAGAATTTGCACACACTAGATAAATTACACAATTTATACTGGACCAAAAACAATACTGAAGAAGTGAATTCAGGAGATACCGTATTTTCCGGGGTATAAGACGACCGGGCGTATAAAACGACCCCCTTTTCCTGTTAAAATATAGGGTTTGAGCTATACTTTCCGTATAAGACTACCCCTCTTCCAACGCACACCAAATAAAAACTGCTCACCCACAATGTAAAAGCAGCTGTGCTAGACCCAAAATGGCCCCTGCAACAAGCAGGAACCTCACACAGCCACAAAAATCCCCCCCAAAAAACTTTACACACACACAACACAACTGGCTCACCCACAATGTAAAAGCAGCTGTGCTAGATCCAAAATGGCCCCTGCAACAAGCAGGAACCTCACACAGCCACAAAAACCCAACTTTCACACTTTACACACACAAAATTCCACATACAGCTTTGTGAGATTTTGTGTGTTTGTATAGTTAGAGTGAAACACTACAGAAACACACTAAATCTCAGAAAGCTGCACAAATATTATTTTATTTTATTTTAATTTTTATATGAAAGCTCAATTTAAAACTTCCTAAACTTTAAATGGCTAGGTCTAAAAAAGAACAACTAAAAAAAAACCCAATTAAGTATTTTTTTTAAAGCTCCCAAAGGGGAAAAAAACTTACCCAATAGAACAGAGGTCTCCAACCTTGGCAACTTTAAGATTTGTAGGCTTCAACTCCCAGAATTCCTCAGCCAGCTTTGCTTTGCTGGCTGAGGAATTCTGGGAGTTGAAGTCCATAACTCCCTGCCTGCTTGATTGCAGGCAGGGAGTTGCTTGCTGATGGAATGGATTCAGGCAAGCGAAGCAAGGCAAGTGTTGTGACTAGCAGCTAAGGTAAGCAAGCTGGAGGGGGAAAACTTTTTTCCTTTGACATGGCTCTGGCGATCCCAGTTGAGTTGCCTGATTAGCAGGCAATTCAGCTGGGATCGTCAGAGCTTGGATCGCCAGAGCCATGTAAAAGAAAAAAAGTTTTTTCCTTTTAAATGGCTCCTGCGATCCCAGCTGAGTTGCCTGATGGTCAAAGCTTGGCTCATCAGAGCCATTTAAGGCTCATCAGAGCCTTTCGGGCTGGTCTGCCTGGTTACAGGAGAACGACACCCAGCGTATAAGACGGCCCCTGACTTTTAAGATTTTCATGTGTTAAAAAGTTGTTTTATAAGCCGGAAAATACGGTATATTGTTCATTTTTAACATTTCTTTATATTGTAGAAATGAGAAGACAAAAGCAATATATACGCTAGATGACATATGATAGGACTGAGATAGTTGTATATCTGGATTCCATTAATGTTTGTCCCCCCTTTTTTTAAAGTTTTACTTCATTTTATCATCATATTTTTTTCAACCTTTGACTGTATCCTCACTGTTGTGTTTTATATTGGTTTGTTTAATTGATTAATACATTAAATGATTTAGAACATGAATGGCAATCTTGGCTTGCCTGGGACTATATTGAGTGCAGACAAATTGTCTTGGGCTGCATATAAAAATATAATTAATGTATATAAATAGCAAATGTCATTTGTTTTTTATAAGTTTTATTATTTATCTTCTGGGGCTACAGTACTAGCTACCCAGGTCTACGTGTGCCTGCAGGTTGGATATACTTGGTTTAATAGCAATAGTACTTAGACTTATATACCGCTTCACAGTGCTTTTACAGCCCTCTCTAAGCCGTTTAGAGTCAGCCTATTGCCCCCAACAATCTGGGTCCTCATTTTACCCACCTCGGAAGGTTGGAAGGCTGAGTAAGCCTTGAGCCTGGTAAGATTTGATCTGCCAAATTGCAGGCAGCCAGCAGTCAACAGAAGTAGCCTGCAGTACTGCATTCTAACCACAGCACCACCACATCTCTTAAGCTATCAAAACACAAATGCAAGATAGCATATTAGAATATATTCTATAAATCTGTTTATAGAAACAACATAAATATAAGCACTGTTAGATGCATTGCTCTTGCAATACTGAAGTTCTCGATTTTAAGGTAAATGAAAGCTAAGTGTAATTAAATGCATTGTCTTGTACTTCCAAAACAGTTGCCCATGTATGCATTGCAAGTTAAATGGTTGATTTATGGATTTATATCTACAGTTCTGCCAAAGAAACCAAACCATATCATCTATAACCTTTTTATAAATCAGTACTGTAGTATCTATATGAAGCTCCAATAGCATTCATTTGCAAAGATTCAAAAAATCTGTAAAGGAAGTAAATACTCTGTCATAAAACTGCAGATTAATCACATAGTACTATTTTTCACAAAACAAAAGATAGCAACTAACACTTGATTACAAGTAGTTCCATGAGTTAGAAGAATAGTATTAACTTCCCTAGTCAATATTAAACTTAACGGAATAACAACAGTATTGGAATGGCACATTAAAACTCTTTGTAAAAAAAAAAAAATCCAGATACATCAAATTGCTATTGTGTGTTTGCACACAGGATGAGATCTTGCAAAGTTCTTGCAAAGTTCATAAAAGGCACTTTTTCCATTTCCATTAGATCTTCCCATTTCACTGAAGTTCTTTACATTCTTTGACTTCTCAGGAGATTCCAAATATAGCAAGGAATAAGAAGCAAACCCAATCCTTCACACTTAAATGATGACCCAATCTCTATTCACACTGATTTCAGGCATCAGGAAAAGCAAAAGAAACATGAACCAAAAACCTGTGCTTTGACAAATCCACTAACGAGTGTGTACTCTAGGAGGCTGGCCTTTTAAGTTGTTTAAAATAACAGCTGCTGATGGTCTTCGAGCTGGCTCTTTGGAAAGCAGTTTCTTAATTAGATGAGTCTGTAAATGAAGAGGAGGATATTAATATAAAAATTAAGAAATGAACATGGATTAAGAAAAATAGATTAAAGATTTTAAAAAGATGTTTTACATCAGTATACCTCTTCTGAAAACTCCTCGGTGAATTTTGTTGGAAATTTGCCTTCTTTAATATTGGGCCATTCCTGAAAAATCAGAGTATATTTAAATTAAAGTACACAACTCTACTTTAAAGGATTTGTGTGCTAAATTTCATAAATCTACCAGCTCTCCCAAAAGTAGTTTACCAATCTAGCAACAGAAAAATCCCACATTAAAAAACAGCTAGGAGTATTTGCTTTTATAAGATGCTTTCTAGAACGGGTCCCCAGCCGCCGGTCCATGGACCAGCACCAGTCCATGGCATGCCAGAAACGGGATAGCACAAACAACCAAAACCCCATCTGCGGGATGCAGTCATCAAACAAAACCACGCCCCACCCCCTCCGGTTCACGAAAAAACATCTCTCCTCAGAACCAGTGAAAATAAGACTAAAAATGTGTGCATGCAGGAAGACTATTTGGTGCCGTAGCATAGGAATGCACACTTACGCTTGTATTCATAAGCATATAAAACAGCAATATGTATATTACAAATAATATATATATATGAAGTAGGCCTAGTTCCAATCCATAGACCTATATACTGCCTGTAAAAGGTTACAAAGTCTTCATTGATACATGAATTAACAGTCACCCATGGAACTTCCCAACTCAAATACTTGGTGCCAGATATGTACAATTTTGCCTAATTTCATAACAAAATTTAATAATCCAAAAGCCTACTTCAGAACTCTTATTATCTACAATATGTACAGTACATAGTAGCCAATAATAGTAGTAGCCACCCCTTATGGCCTTTAATCAGCAGATGAAAGTGAAAGTTGAGAACTTTATTACTTTTCTTTCAACAATAATCTTTCTCCCCATATATTTGCTGGGAGACTTAAACCAAGGCGTTCCATTAGTGAATATAATGAACAGATGGCTTTTCTCCTTTTGCTCAGCTTGTTAATGTATACTTTTTTTGAGTTAACTATTTTAATTTGTTTTTCTAACATTACATTACATTAAATAAATCAGTCAGTCTGAAAAGCAGCTTGAACACGTTTTTCCTATCTTTATTCAGAAATACATGCAGGCAGATGTAAGAAAAAAAGTGGATTATTTACCTTATATTTCTCAGTATCAGTGAAAAATGGGGAAAGCATTTCATACAAAATTAATCCTAATGGAAAGATATCTACTTTCTTGCCATAATTGCTTCCTTCCTAATGGACAACATAATACAAGCATATTAGGTACTTCAAATGTAAAAACAAGATGTATGCAACCTTCCATCAGCTTTTTAGAGTCCCTAGAAGCAAAAGAATTGTAGGCAATCTTATGCTGTTGAGGAAAAATGCATGAGAATAAATAATAACACAATAAAAGTTAATTTTTAGCATAAGGTTATTTATTTGGAAAAGTTCCAGACAATTTTCTCTTAGATGAAATGGAACAATTTAGTGCTTTTTTGAGGGGGGAGGGGATGTAGATGCTTTGTTTATCAATTTATAAGAGTCTGACTTCAAATTATAGCACAGTAGAGAGAATTGAGGCCCTTGTCACCTCACAGCTGGATTATTGCAACGCGCTCTACATAGGGCTACCCTTGAAAAGTGTTCGGAGACTACAGTTGGTCCAGAATGCAGCCGCGCGAGCTACTGTGGGTGCACCTAGATACACCCACATTACACCAATTCTCCGCAAGCTGCACTGGCTCCCTATTGGTCTCCAGACGCAATTTAAGGTGTTGGTTATTACCTTTAAAGCCTACATGGCTCAGAGCCAGGTTATCTTCAAGACCGCCTTCTACCGCATAGCTCCCAGCGACCGGTAAGATCCCACAGAGTTGGTCTCCTCCGGGTCCTGTCAGCTAAACAATGTCGGCTGGCAGGCCCACGGGGGAGGGCCTTCTCTGTCGCTGCCCCAGCTCTCTGGAACGAATTACCTCCTGAGGTCCGGACCGCACCCACCCTATTGGCCTTCCGGAAAGCAGTTAAGACCTGGCTTTTCTGGCAGGCCTGGGGCCGTTGATCTCGCTGCGGTGATCTGCGAGACCCAGCCATGAAATGGAGTGTGAGTTTTTAATGTTTTTTTTTTAATTTACGGGATAGTGTTCGCATTGTTTTTCTTTGCTGTAAGCTGCCCAGAGTCCCTAGGGATTTGGGCGGCATAGAAATGAGACTAATAAATAAAAATAAATAAATAAATTTACAAATGGAAAACTATACAAATAGAATTCAATTGACAACCATTAATTTAATGACCGTTCAAAGTTACAATGGCACTAAAAATTATTTGTGATCATTTTTCACACTTAACAACCATTGTAGCATCCTTATGGTCAAAATTCAGGGACTTGGATTAAAATTGATCAAAGATTTGAAGAATCTGCAATTGGATTAAACCAACGGAAAAATGTCATGAGTACACATACAAGAGAGAAGTTAAATATGTAGATGAGATTAATACCTAACGGATTTGATGGAGAAAAAGTTTTACCTAAGAAATGGAGGCATATCAGAAAATGTGCAAAAACCTATTAATATGAAAGTGAGGATGTGCATGCACATAAGCACACTCACTGGCTGTTTCTGCAGCCCAGTTGCAAACTGCTCACGGCCCACTAGTTGGCCACACCACACAGGTTGGGAACCCCAGTTTACAGACAATATTTTGGACTTTATAAGAGCATGGAAACAGCCCATGGTGTTTCTGCAAGTTTAATAAAATAACAGTCTGTTAATGGAGACTTTTAAGATCAACTTATTTTTTGTGGGCTATTAGTTACTAGTTTGTTTTTTTAAGTTAACAGATATTAGGTCTATTTGGTTGATAGACTTCAACTTTCTACATTTGAGGTATCTTTCAAAGAATTGTGATGTCAAGTATAATAAATATTGCAATTATAGATGTGAAATTTTACAATTATTTGTAGACCCACAAATCGAGCGGAGGGGATTCATTAGATTTATTTATAAATATCTGTCAACTTTCAACCACGGTGGATGAAGTATATTTAATGTTGGATTTATGCATGTTATTATTATTATTATTATTATTATTATTATTATTATTATTATTAGTGTTTGTAATTTTGGTCTTTTGTTGTTTTTGTCATTTTTTTTAATATTTTATCTTTGGAAAAAAATAAAATATCAGAAAATAATTCAGGCAATTGGAAACTGGCATGTATTTATGAGAGTTACACTATCCCGGGACATGTGATCACCATTACTATGTAACCTTACTATTTAGCCACTAACAAACAAAGTCAATGGGGGAAGCCAGGTTCGCTTAATGACTGTATGATTCAGTTAATTGCAGTTATTTGCTTAATGACTGTGGCAAAAAGGTCATAAAATGGGGCAAAACTTACTTAACTACCTTCTTAGCAACAGAAATTTTGGGCTCAGTTGTGGCCATAAATCAAGGACTACCTGTATATCCAACAGAAATAAGCAAATGCATTTCAAAAGGATTTTCAGTGCATACACCAAAATAATTATTCACAATAATTACCTGCTCAGGTGCCATGTAATTCACTGTTCCCGTGTTCGTTGTCTTTTGTCCGACATCTACATCTGTTACCAACCCAAAATCACCTATTTTTATGTGTTTTTCACTATAAAAAAGTATATTTAGAGGCTGTAAAAGAAAAAAATTACAGTGAGAAAACATGTTATATTTAGACATACAAAGAACAATTTTTTTCCCTAGGACAGCAGAAGTCAATTTGTGCACAGATTCTGGGATTAAAAACACATTTTTTGCAAATAAATGAATTGGCAAATACTGAACCTGCAAATAATCAGGACTGCCTGTACCAGATAGGAAAAGGAAAAGCTGACAAAGTCAGAAACAAAGGATATGTGACCAGATTTATTTTCTTAAGAAAATACATGTAAAAACCTATTTTGAGAAATGGAAATTTTTACTTCCTAAAATAGGAGAATGAGAAAAAGAGGCATAGGATTTGACTCTTGGGAGTGTTTTATATATAAAGACTAAATTTTAGAACAGGGGTGTCTAACCTTAGGAACTTTAAGAATTATGGACTTCGATATTTATCCCGACTTCCGGCGATGACGTAGGGTTGAGGCGGCATGGGAAAAGAAGCGCTCTGTTCCCAGTGCCGAATTTCTAAGTTTTTGGTGCCCTTTCGGGCGAAGATTGGTCCTGGAGGAACCGATAATAAGGAGGGGAATCTTCGGAGGAGGCGAGGAGAGGTGCGATCTCCAGCCACACCAAGAAGGACCCTCAGTTCAAGCTTAGAAGAAGCTAGCCAGTGCAGCTGACTCAGGCCCAAGCGAGACCAACGGGAAGCAGAAGAGTGAGTACGGTGCGGAGAAAAGCGGTGTGAGCAGAGTAAGAACACTTTAAACTTCTTTTTATCTCGGTGGAAAGCCGAAAGGGGAGAAAGTGATTTTCGGAGGGGCAGCGAGTAAGAGAAAGGCTCAGAGCGTAAATGGGCGGCAAATAAGAAGAGTAAAACGGAAGAGGACGAACTTCAGACCAGCGGAGAAATAGTAAAGGACTGAAACATTAAAATACAAGAATATTGAACGTGCAGAGAGGTGGACCTAGATAGCTGGACTGAGAAGTGAATTGGACATTAACTTTATCCCCAATTTAGCAGCCCCAACGGAAAGAAAGAGGTGGATTGGCAAAAAGAAGATTGGAGATCGCTATATTGAATGACTCTATTTTGGAATGGAAAGTAGAAGTAGAAACGTAAGGAAAAGATTACAGTGGAACACACTGGACATTTTTAAAAGTATATAAAATTGGGACTTATAGAACTTTTGATAATACATCCTTTGCTCTTTCCTTTTGGACATACCTATATATTTATTGTTCTAGACATTTATATTTATATCTATTTATTATAAAGTAAACTATTATTTATATAAACATTTATATACAACTTAAAAGTATATTTTAGAAATATTTAAATCTATTTCAACTCCATACATATAATTAACTGTGGTAATTATTAACTGTTTTATAATTAAGTATTGACTATTTCTAAGAGTTTAATCTGTCATCCTAAACTAAGTGGTTTTTTCTCTTTCTCTCTTTTTTTTATAGTTTGATTATTATATAGTAATAATTAATTGTTTAAAGTAAATAGATAAGTTAATTGATTGATTAATAGATAGGAATGTGGATTTTGGGAGGAATTTTTTAAGATATTAAGATATTAATGAATTGAATTGGTTAAAAGAATAATTAGAAATTAACTCAGTAGTGTAAAATAGTAGGAGGGTATAGTAGGAGGATAAGAAAGGAAGGAAAAGAAGGAAGCTATATAGAAATTGGATGGTGATTTGGGAGAAGGTAGATAAAATTTTGGTGGAACAATACAAAATACTCAAAGAGATGACTAGTACCACCACAACGACGGTGAAAACAGGGAAGAAAACCGCATCAATACTAGCAGGACCATCGGCTTCCCCAGTGACACAAAAGACTTTAGAGGGAATCAGACTTTAGACTTCAGCAGAGAAACAGCCCACTGCATTAAGTATGCCAACAATGCAGACCACACTTATGACAATACAAGAAACTATGGTTAAAATGCAAGAATGCATTTTATGCAAGACTAGGAACCATGAAGAAACCAGGAGGGACATGGACGAGGTCAAGAGAGAGGTTAAAAGCGACATCCAGAAGATAAACGAAAAGATGAACTCGATACAAGAAATGATTAAAAAAAATGACCAAAGGATAATAGCAATAGAAAAGAAAACAGAAATGACAGAAGAAAGAATAGAATCCTTAGATTTAAAAATGATGGGACTAAATAAAGAATTAGAAAACAATGTGGAGCAATTGGAGATGGAAAGAGCTGCATTCTTTTTATGCTTTCAAAATGTGGCGGAAGACAGGAGGACCTAACGTTAGTAATGGTGGAGATGATAGCAGAGGCCCTCCAAAGAGAGAAGGATGAAATATTAAATGAGCTGGACGAAGTGTACAGAGTCCACACTAATTATGCTCGACAAAACAAATTACCCCGGGAGGTACATGTAAGTTTTGTGAGAAGGAAAGTTAGAGACATTGTACATCAGGATCAAAATGGTTTCTTGCCAACAAGGCAAATAAGAACTATGGACTTCAACTCCCAGAATTCCAGTTGAAATCCACAAGTATTAAAAGGTACCAAGATTAGTCACTCCTAATCTACAGCTTTGTTTGGTTGTTTAACTTCTATACTACCCATCTTGCCGACGTAACTCTAGAGGACTTATTCATTGAATGAAAATACCATTCAGGACTTCTGGCTGGTGAATCGCGGCGGCAGGGTGCTGTAGGAGCGATCTCTGCTCCACGGCACTGTCTTTTCTCCTGTGTCCTGGGGACCCCAAGGGGCGAGACGGCCCGGACAGCGTCTCGGACAATAGAGGCGATCTGAAGAGCGGAAAAGCGAGGAGCAAGCGCTCTCCGCTCGAACAGATGCCTCTGTCAAACTGGCACGGGTGCATCCGCTGTTTAATGGTGGACCCGAAGCCGTGTTAGCCAGCAACGACGAGGAAGCGAGGAGATCGGGGCGGCCAACGTGAAAAGAAGACCCAGCTACAACCCCTGGTAACCGTGACGATTGATCTCAAAGAAGCAGCGAGTGGAGCCGGGTGAAAGAGCTCACGGTGAGACGGAAGGTGGCGAGTGAAAGTGACAGAGCAGATTGGGAAAGTGTGGATTGCCAGCGAAGCTGTGAGGAGAAGCAGAGACTGCTGAGATTGCTGAGGCAAGGGACGGCGCAGCCAAAAGTTGTTGGCACCTTTTCTGAAATTGGCAGCTAATGTGGATATAACTGAACTGGATTGGATTGCGAGTGCAGGAATTTACGGAAGTATTAGATAACAAACTATGGATACTTTGTTCCTGTTTTTCCTTTCTTCTTGAGGAGAGAAACCGGAAGCACAGCCATAACCAGACTTGGATGACTGACAGCAGAAAGGATCGAGTGGTAACATTTTGAACTGTGCAATTCGGAATTGTATTTCCGATTATTAAGACTTGGCTGTCAGAAAATTTTGGAACTGCTTGAGATCCCTTCCTAATGAATTGAAGTGCTGCACTATACAAGAGAAGCGGTTTGAACGTTTAACTGTGGCAACAACTTAGTAATTATAATGAACTTCTAGATTACTATCTAAACAATTACTTATTAATTAATCCATAAGAACCCCTCTATTTATCTATCTATATAGACATTAACTACTTTAAATAATCCTTTTCAACCCTTTCTGAGTGGACTTATATATTCCTTCTCTATAGTCCAATAGCTTTTGATCTATTTACATATATATATATATACCTAATCTATTTTTTGAACTGTATTGAACCGTAAAATAGTTTATATACTAATATTGATATAATAACTGAATGAATTGTACCTGTTGATTTACAGATTAGGTGATTTTATAATTGGATGAATTAGAAATTTTTTGCTGTTAGAGAGAGAATAGTGGATGATAATTTGGAGGAATATTGAGGAGATTTTGAGAAATCAGAAGAGAGTTTTAAAAGAGATGACAAGCATCTCATCGGCGGTATTCAAGGCAGGAAAGAAAACATCGTCCAATCCTGCAATAACAATGTCCTCTCCAGCGTTGCAAAAATCTGCTGAAGGGTTAACAAAAATAGAAAAATCAACAATGTTACCAACTATGCAAGCAATGCAAACGACCCTATCAACGATACAAGAAACCATGCTCCTACTGCAAGAAAAAATAACAAACAACCATGTAGAATTGAAATAAGACATCCATTCTATTGATCAGAAAATGAGTGAGATCCAAGAGTCCATCTATAATAATGAGCAAAAGATAAAGAAGGTTGAGACTAGGGTGAAGCAGAATGAAAGAAATCTTGATTCTATGGACCAGAAGCTATCGGCACAAAATAGAGAGCTGGAGGACTCCATAATTCAGCTCGAGATGGACCGGGCAGCCTTCTTTCTGCGTTTTCAAAACATAGTGGAAGACAAAGATGAGGATTTGGGACAGGTCATGGTAAATCTAATAGCTGGGATATTGCAACAGGACAAGGATGATGTTATAAGAGAGTTGGACGAAGTCTATAGGGTCCAAACTAACTACGCTAGGAGGAATAAACTCCCTAGAGAAGTCCATGTTAGATTTGCCCGGAAGAAGGTGAAAGATCTACTATATAATTTAGTAAGAGATGACCCTGTAACTTATAAAGGTAAAGAGGTGATAGTACTGAAACAAGTCCCGAAGAGAGTTTGAGAACTGAGAAGAGACTACAGGTTTCTGGCTATACAGTTAAATAAGAGGAATATCCCCTTCAGATGGATCTTACCAGAGGGGATGCTGATCACTTGGCAGGGGAAAAGAATTAAAATAGACAGCCTAGTCTCCACGCAAGAACTTTTAGATCACCTGAGGGGTGCAGAGGAAGATCGTAGCAGTAAAGATGAACTAGATGTAGCCTCTCAGGAGTCAGTTAGCGTGCAACAAAGGAAATCCAAAGAAGGAACACCAGAGGAACAGAAGATAGAAGAGAAGGAAATTAAAGAAACCAAAGGAAAGAGACAAAGACCACAAAGAGCCGTTCGAGCAAATAAAAACTAGACAGGTCTTATAGAGAGATGGAGGGTTGGAAGTTACTGTCTGTTA